AAAGCAAGACGCTTAACCAATCATTGCGGCCGCGTGGAGCATCACGGGAACTCCGGGGCTATAAAAGACCAAGTTGCTATTTTATACTCACCGATTCACTCATCCTTTAAGTAGCAGGGCGGGGATGGGTGCGCCTGCGCGGTTTTAAAGCCCTGCCCCAAACTGCCAACACTCCGCGCAAGCGAAGTAGATCGTCTTTGCCCGACATTACGCGTGCGCACCTACTTCTCTAACCCCGGAAGACCGTGCGCTTGCGCAGTGAGAACTACGGTGACAGTACACCCGGTGGGGCGCTGGCCAGTCATGGCGGAACCTTGGTCTGGGCAGTTTTTGCAAGCTCTGCCCGCGTCGGTGCTCGGAGCGCTGGGCACCCTGGGCAGCGAATTCCTGCGGGAGTGGGAGACACAAGACATGCGAGTGACTCTCTTCAAGCTGCTCCTGCTGTGGTTGGTGTTAAGTCTCCTGGGCATCCAGCTGGCGTGGGGGTTCTACGGGAACACAGTGACCGGGTTGTATCACCGTCCAGGTGAGGCTCCCTACGAACCTCCTTGGCCTGGCTGCCCCTACCACCACCAAGCTATACCACTTGTTTCTCCTGTGTCCGCGTAGACTGCCACTGGTCTCCCAGAAGCCTCGTTGCACCCAGACTTACACCCCCATACCATCTTACATCAGAATCCCCACCTGTCCATAATCACGTTGTAACGGTTTCTCAAAAACCCTTACCAGACAATACTACCAGTCCCTAGCATCCCAGCCCCAATCTCTTAAACTGTACCAGTGGCCCCTTACCTGAGCCTGCTCAGATCCCCACCCTCAGCCTCCTGCAGCTCTGGGTGTGTTCCTGCCTCCAGGTCTGGGTGGCCAGAATGGATCCACACCTGATGGCTCCACACATTTTCCTTCATGGTGAGTAAATCTCCGTCTATCCCAACCCCATGCTTGGCAGGCAGAGAACACTGAGTGCTGGTGACAGGGAAGAGAATTCGCAGGGCCACCACCTTAGTGGCCTCTGCAAGAACCCTCCAATTCTGCAGGTAGAGCTCAGGATTCGAGTTGGGCATTTAGCAGTGCCTCTTATCAGCATATGCAGTGGGGATGGATGGTGGTGGTACCGTAATTTTAGAAAGGTGAAGTGGTAGGTAGGTCTGTTGGAAACAAATCCCTTGATTGGGAAGTCCTTCATTAGGAAAGTGAGAGTATCTATTCTAGGCAAGTACTGTACCATTGGAACTATAACGCCAGCCTAACAGCCTCTATTCTTAGCACACTACCTCATCAAAAAAAAAAAAAAAAAAAAAAAAAAAACCAAAAAAAAAAAAAAAAAAAAAAAAAAAAAACCAGCCTACTTATCAAGACACTTCATTCAGTCAGTCTCTGAGCTTCTACCAGATAGCAGAGCTCACAGCAGGCCCAGAAAACAAGGACAACCCAGACTCTGCTACAGGGGAAGCAAGAGATTTAGAAGGAAAATAAGTACAAATGCAAAGTTGCTCAGGAAAGCAGCCCCTCCCCCATGACACCTAAACTGAGACCAAAGAGAGGACGGCACAGTATACTGGATAAGAAAAAAAAAAAAAAAAGGATAAAAACAGACCCAGTAGCAGGGACAAATGTGACACACTAGGAGACTAGGAGAGGCTGTGATAGTGAACTTTGAACACAAGAGCATAGGGGGACCATGGAGCGATTGAAGGACTGATTCAGCAAGACAGTGACCTGATCTAATTTGCCTTTATAACTCTCTGCTTAATAGCAAGTATTCATGGATAAACTATTCTGCTATTCATGAAGTAACCTTGCTTCTCTCCATCACTTTCAGGGAAATGGCAGCAAATGAACCTCTCAAAACCCACAGAGAATAAGGGAAGGCAGCAGCAGAAGCGTCTCCAGAGACATAACTGGGACTGCTGGCTCCTAGGTTGCATCCTGCTGCTGCCCAGACCCGTTGGACAACTGCAGAGGGCTTGGGGTTGGGGGACTGGAGTACCACAGTGTTTCCAGGGTGAGCCTCCATTGCTTTCAGCCTTGCCTTCAACAGCTCCAGGTACTGGGCAGGTGAAGTCTGTCTCTACCCCAGTGTAGTTGCCCTAAGACTTCTGTCAAGGGTCAGAGCTAAGAAGCATTTTGGTTGGGGAGGTCAGCAGCCCTTTCACTTTGTCTTTTTCCTGTCCTCATTTCCTTGGGATGTGATCTTCTAGAGATTTGTTCTCCTAGGAGAAATCTTGAGGTTAACAGTTCTGAGATTTATAAGGGAAGTCTGTTCTTCCCTTAAGCCCTGATTTCCTTGGCTTTGCTTTATGGGCAGAAGCCAGCTAATCCTGGCCTGGACTAGAGCACCAAACATGTACCTCCCTGGCCCAGCTAGTCTTCCAGGTCTGCAAGCAGAGGAAGATATCATTTCCCAACTGATCTAGTTCTCTGTTCTTTGGGGACAAGTTGAGTACCTACGAGACAGAGTGGACTGAGTCCCTTAAGTGCCAATGGAGTTTTTTGGTCTGTACTTTGTACCCTCCGAGGGAGGTACTAAGCAATTATTGCAATGACTTCATTGTGCCTTGCAGCCTTATCACTTCCCATCTGACAAGGGCCTTATCCTAAAAGCCTACTAGAATCACTTCAGCTCCTAGGAATATCAACCAGTAAGAGAGAGCCACAAGCCAGATAGCCTTGGGCCCTTCATATTGGGTCTCTAATGGCTGTGTTTCTGCCTGTCTCAGCTGGGCCACTAGCTACCTCAGGTGTCCCCGTCTCTTTGTTAGATGTCACATAGCCTTCTGGCAGCCTTTGTCTACAAAGACTTTGTAGCAGGTGTACTAAAAATGAAACTGTACTGAGCTCCTCATGCACAAGTACCTACTCCAGCGATGCATCATCTGTATGGCAGAAAGATGTTCTTCACAGCCTCAGACCCACCCACTGACATCACCACAAAGAGCCAAGGTCTCACATTCCACCCCAGGAGCACCTGAGGATGTCGCATATTAAAGACAGAAGTGCATCAGTTGTGTGGTTATTCCAATAGGACAAGGGTGTGTGCACACGGGCAACTGGTAAGGGATCCTGGGTTGTGTAATTTGAAGAGGTGGAGAACTGACGCCAACCCCCTAGAGTGGTGGTAGGTTGCCCAACAGGGGTAATACCCCCATTAGTTTTTTGTGAGTGGGAGGGATTGGGACAGTTGAGTTAATGTCTCATGTTGTCCAGGCTGGCCTTCAGTTCAACATATGACTGAGGATGACCTTGAACTTCCAACACTTTTGTCTCCAACTCACAAGTGCTGGGATTACAGGGGTAGGCCACCACACCACTTCTGTATGTATACCTGGCCCCTTTCAAGGAGCGCCTACTCAAAACCTGTGTTGGAGGCCAAGAAGACAGGCATTGGGTTGGCCCCCCAGGAACCCAGTGAGCAAAGAACAATAAAGCTAGAGACCATGGCAAGAAGGAAGGAAACGTTAAGATTTTTTTATTTTATGTGCATTGTTGTTTTGCCTGCATTTATGTCTTTATAAGGGTGTCAAGTTACTTTGAGTTGGATTTTGCCATGTGGGTGCTGGAAATTGAACCTTGGTCCTCTGGAAGAGCAGCCAGTGCTTTTAACTACTGAGCAGCTCTTCAGCCCCAGAAGGAAACTTTAATTTTTTTCAAGAGTTAGTGAAGTACAGTTATTCACAACAAGAGCTAAGGTAAGCACAAGTACCAAGCTTGCCATGTCATGCTGTTGCACAGCAGGTTAAGTTGACTAGGGAATGTGGAAGGGTGAGTCTGTGTTTGCTTAGCCATCCCTACATTTGCACAAAGGAACAACTCAGCCGACACTGAGTCAGGAGTCATCTTTATCCAAGGAAAGGCAGAGTATACATTCATGGGAAGCAAAGTGGAGAAGGTACCTAAGCTCACACTTCCCACAGTAATAGCCCTTTGAAATTAGAGAAACCATGGTGAGGTAGGTTGGGCAGGTGTTATCTTCCACACAAAGGCAGACAATTTTTCTATAGCCAGCATCTGGCAGAATAAGGTTAGTGGCATTGTGTACTAAAATAGGACATTAAGTAAGGTGATTTGTCATTTAAAATTGAGCCCTTTAATCCCAGCACTCGGGAGGCAGAGGCAGGCTGATCTCTGTGAGTTTGAGGCCAGCCTGGTCTACTAGTTCAAGGACAGGCTCCAAAGCTACACAGGGAAACCCTATCTCGAAAAACAAACAACAACAACAACAAAAAAAAAAAAACCTAAAGTTAGGCTGGCTTGACTGGGAAGAATAGATGGGATGTTCTGGGATGTTCTCCCTACCCTAACCAGACCACAACAAACCCCTGTGAGTTGTGCTTCACTACTCTGATTAAGCACTATGGAAGGCCACCTAGGACAAGATTCCTGGAGGGAAGGGCTTTTCCACGGGACATCTTCACTTGAGAGTGTAGTAGTTTGTGGGCACGAAGGGCATTTTGCTAACCACCGTCATTTGCTGCTTCCGCCGAACCTCCACCAGCAGCTGTGTCCCTGGCCGACTATACTTGAATGGCACATAACCCATGGCCACATTCTTCTTCAAACTGGGTGAAGGGCAGCCACTGGTCACAGCGCCTGTCCATGCATAGGTCATAGGTTAACACCACCCTGCAAGACCAATATCCCTACCCTGGCCACCCTGCCAGCCATCTGGACCACTTACCAATCACAGTGCCTTCTGTGCTCAGGATAGGACTGTGTGCTCTCACCGGGGCCCCTTCACATACCAACCCCACACGTCTCTTCTGCACCTCACCCTTTAGCTGGGGAACAATGATTTTGGCTCCTGGGAAGTCCATAGCAGTTCGGCGGCGCTTCCCTGTAACAGAACACACCAGATGTAAGCTATGCAGAAGCCCTGGACACAGGAAGTCTTTACTACCAAGGCCCCAAGTGACAACCATCAAGTATCACTTGGGCTCTTGGGCTCAGTCTTGCACTACAGTCAGTCAATCAACCATCTCCTACTCCCTGGAAGCCATACTTTACAGTAACACTTTCAGGGAGTGAAAGCTCAGCAAGGCTGAGTTACATCTCCAGGGCCCCTTGAACACGAGCCAGCTCACCCAGTGTCCAGCTGAGACTGCCCTCCACAGGTGTGGTATGTTCATCAATGTCATTCCCGTACAGACAAAGGCCTGCCTCCAAGCGCAGGCTATCTCTGGCTGCTAGTCCTGCCAACTTCACCTCTGGGTTTTTCAGCAGAGCAGTAGCCAAGTGGACTGCCGCTATTGCTGGCACTGAGATCTGCACAATGGACCAGAGAGCAGATGGGCAGTTACCCTAAGTCTTGAATGCTGTGATCACTTTTACCACTTTGGGTTGTACAGGAGTGAGACACACTCTACCACAGCATTATAGTCCTCATTTCCCTACTCCCACCCCTCTTTCTGAGACAGGTAGCTGGGCTGGCCTGTAATTTATGATTCTCTACTTACTGGGTCCTGGGATTACAGGCATGTTCCACCCGTGCCAAGCTTTACAACTGTATTTATTGTTTTAGAGTTTGTTTTGGCTTTATTTTCTTTGAGACAGGCTCTCATTATGTAGCCTTGTTTAGCCTGGAACTCACTATGGATACCCAACCCACCATGAACTAAGATGTTCCTGCTTCTGTCTCCATAAGCACTGGGATTACAGGTATGAGACCCCATGGGGAATAACTACTTCTCAACATACCTCTACACCATCTTCTCCTGTGTAGCCACAGCGGGTCACACGACAGCCAGACACACCAAACACCTCCATTACAGCACTAGTCATGAAGGGCATTTTCCTCAAATCATCTGTCACACCAGCCTGTAACACTTGCGCTGCAGTGGGTCCTAAGCCCAAAGAGAATAACCAAGGGTGTTGGGCCCAACACCATTTGGAAGCAGAACAGGTCCCAAGCAAGCCCAACTCTGCTAGAGGGGAGAGGATGTCCTTGTCCCTGGCCCATGGACAGCTTTGCAGAGAGGAGAGTAAAGATATTTCACTTTGGAATTATGGCATACAAATATACAGCATCCATACCTTCCTCTTGGGATAGCTTCCATGCAGAGAAGCAAATAAAGCCAGGAAGGCAAGGGCTGGCTCTAGCACCAACCTGGCCCTCTCACCTTGCAGAGCTAGCAGGGCATTATCTACCACCTCCAGGCCGACATCACTGCCCTTGTTCTGGAACTCCTTGACCTTGTCCTGAAATGGATAACAGAAACACATCAGTGTCTGAAACCATTACTGAGCACCTAATATGGGTTGGACATTGCAGAACCGAGCAGCTAGATAGCAGGCCAGTTTCCATCTTACAAGTCACACAGCGCTAAGTGGTAAGGATGACCTGAGCCCAAGTGTGTCGATTCTCTCACCCTTACCAGAGAATGCTCATTGCAGGGGCAGGGGCAGGGGCAGGGGTAGTAGGGGCAGGAGCCAGGGCAGCGTTATCTCCCCACCTCCTCTAGTACCCATCCCCAAACCCTGTTGTGCACCAGAGAGTGCCTTCTCTTTAAATCTATTGGCTGTTCTTTTATTAAGAGTCATTTCCTGAGCCCCTATCTGCACTGGGCACTGCTTTATAAACCAAGAATACCAAGTACCTAGAATAAAAGGCAGATATACCTGCATGAGAGCCAAGTCCTTGTCCCAGCAGCCAGCGTTAGACACTACATACAGGTGCCCCTCAGAAGTATTGGTCACAATCAAGTCATCTAAGATGCCTCCAGCCTCGTTAGTAAACAGTGACAGTATTCCCTAGTATTGAAGCAAAACATCCTTATCTTCAGGTTCAGGAAGCCAAAGCCAAGTGTGAGCCAGAAACATTCTTAGATCTGCTCAGCTACCAAAAATTCATGGACATCTCTGGATAAAGGGTGCAAGATAGGCTCAAATCTAGGGTCTTTGAACTTCATTTGTCAAGTAAATTTTCACCCCTCCCCAGACTCAACTGGCTCCCTCACTACTCAATTCTTAGAAACCCATTTCATACTTATTCTATCACACCTAGGAGCTACTGTTTCACCCCACCCAGATAACTCCACTCATGTGCCAACCTCTAGGATAAAAGCTTCAAAGACCATCTTCATGATCTCATAGGTTCCCAGCACATACTTCAGGATTGAGTTCAAAACACTGCCAGGCAGGCCCTAGCCTTGCAACTGGATGGCCAAACCATGAGATTGATGGGTCATATGAACCACCTAAGGATCTTGTTAAAACTAAGGTTCTTGCTCAGCAGGTCCAGAGCAGTACCTAAGCATATTCCTAACACATTCCCAGAAAATGGAGAGGCTGCTGGTTTAGGGATCACATCATGAATACCAAAGGTATGAGAAGCATGAGAGGTCAGAACATATAAACTTTGGTTTCTGGCCTCCCAATCCAATGTAGTAAGGCTGGGATAGTGTTTCTTCAAAGCTGGCTGGATACCTGGAAATGACCCAAAGACTCCATCAAGATAGCAAGCCCTGCAGAAGCAGGTGGATCTCTGTGAGTTCGAGGCCAGCCTGGTCTCCAGAGCGAGTGCCAGGACAGGCTCCAAAGCTACACAGGGAAACCCTGTCTCAAAAAAAAAAAAAGAAAAAAAAAAAGAAAAAGATAGCAAGCCCTGAAAAGCTCTATCTGACCTATCTTGGTGCCTCCTAAGCTAGATGCAAGGACTTACCATTGAGAAAAATGGAATGGACCTACCTGGTTAGGCTTTAGTTCTGCAATGTCTCCAACCACTATACTTTCCATCAGCTTCACTCGGTCATGACCAAATATCTTGGTCTAGGGAAAACATGGAAAGCCTCAGGCCATTGCATTGTCTGTCATCTAAAAGGCCGCCAGGCAAGAACACATCCTTCAGCTGGCCATACCACAGTGTGCCCAGAAGTGACTGACAATGGTCTTTGGGTTCTGGAGATGGCAGAGGTCCTACCTTCTCACTTCCCCTATTCCACCCAGCCTCCTGGGACTGAGCACGGTCTTAAGAATCCAAGGGGACCTAGCACCTTACTAAGATACCCAACCCATTTCCAAACCAACACCCAGCACAGCAGATGAGGGTAGGTACAGCTCTAGCAAACCCAGGGGCATTAAAACACACAGTGGAAGCAGGAAGGAGAGATCAGAGATAAACAATCAGAAGACCTTCTGAGTTAGTCCCTAACACTATAGTCTAAGATATCCTCACACAAACCTCAAGAGTACTATAGATGGGGAGGAGGGCAGACCCAGCCTGGGGCTCACCTGCAGCATGTGGGACACATCAAAGAGCGAGCAGTGGCGGCGTGTATGCAGGTGTGAATCAACATGACTGTCCCGGTATTGCACAGGCAGACTCCACCCTGCAAACGCCACCATTTTTCCTCCATGGGCCAGGTGGAAGTCATAGAGTGGAGTCCTGCGGAGCACGTCCTGTGGACAGCCAGGCTTAAAGCCACCAGGGCCCAGTCCCATCAGCTTCCTCCCCCACCCTCCAAGACCAGCAACAGAGCCCAGTGCCCTTCACCCACCTGTACACAACTGAGTTGTCGGCTTTGAACCAAGGGTTGTGCCTGCAGGCGAAAACACAGAGGAGCCACCACACTCACTGTCCGCTGCATTGTTACCCACAACTGGTGCAGTCCGGCACATAGAGGCCACTACTCTGCCAGGCACGCTGGGAGATGTAGTCCAAATCCCTGCTTGGACAGGTCTTTCTAGCCCACAGGGGATAGGAAGGGGGGTGGGAAGCCCATAGAGCAGGCTGACTGACTCCCAATGGCCTCAGGCAATTCCTCTAATAAAAGCAAGTCAGGCAGTCAGGAGCAGAATAGGCTGCCTAGAACCAGAATTGGGGGTTAAAATTCCCTGCCTCCAGAAGGTCAAAGTTCTGCAAATGGCTGAAAAACCGGAATTACACATTCAGGTCAAATAGCCGTGGGAGGTAGAGCACTCACTGGAGGGTGAAACCCTCTGGGCAGGCACAGTACCATTGTGGCCTGGCCTCTTATAATGGTCTCTAGCTCTCACACAGGGCACACACAAGCAGCAAACATGGTCACATACTCCACAAGTATTTATTTGTCTTGCGGCACACTAACACCAGTGCTGGAGCTTAGGAACACAGCTATGAATTATGCATGATCCCTGCCACCCCAGAATCCTCTTGCTCATGCATACTGAAGACCATTGTTCCTTGAGCACAGGACTATGGCGATCACCCTTTCAGCAAAAAAGGAATGAGTTTAAACAATGGTCTTGCAAGTGAAGACACTACCTTCAGAAGGCTGATAGCAAGAATGCAGTGTAGCTACCCAAGATGGCTACTTTCCCAAAAAACTGTTACACATACATGTTCAATTTTCCAGGTCCAAGACACCTTGCAGCACTGCTTTATAACAGTCCCCAGGGGCAACATCAGGAAGAACTAGAAGGAAACTGAATTTTATCACAGGAAACAGCAGCAGCCTTCATCATCTAGTGGTTGCTCTAGGGTAATGGAGGACCTCAGCCTCCCAAAAGGCATCAGTGACGCCTTCCCTTGGACACACTGCCCCCAAGGTTGATCTTTCATCATCCTGAGCATGACTGGCAAGAAGCAACTGGGAGAAAGGCCCTTGATGTGCTGCATGTGGAGTCTGATGACAAATAGATTGGAGGCCGCATTCTCAGGCCCCAGCTGTGCCCAAAGCACCTGCCCAGATCTGACAGAGAACACATTTCAGGAACCAGCTCAGAGACTCAAGCACTCAAGCTTCCCAAATCCCAGCTCTGCCTCCTAGGCTGGTAAAAGACAAATTTAAAGAGGGGCATTTTCTTTTTCTTTTCTTCCCCCAACCCCCAAAAGGCAGGGGGTCTTACTGTGTAACCCTGATTGGCCTGGGAGTCACTGTGTAAACCAGGCTATCCTTGAACTCACAGACTGATGAGGTGAAAAGTGTGTGCTACCATGCTGGGCTCTAGGACATCATCTTTTTCATGGATAGAATACATAAGGAAAAAGGCCACTAGCAGAAGCAGAGGAATGAATAGGGGTCATCTCTTCCTCAAGCTTCCCAGGTCATGAATGTAAAAACAGCAGGCCTTCCTGAGCTACCTGGAACAGGTTTATCTCAACAATGGGGAAAATGGTAGCAGACACAGGTGTGCATACTGGCAGGACAGGCAGGAGGAACTCGATGATTCTAAGTAGAACCTGTGAATTTTGAGAGGAAGAGACTGAATTTGCATGTCAGACAAAGACAGAAAATGCCCCCACTAGGAATTCATGCTAAAACAACTAGGTGAATGTCAAGAATTCCTTTGACACAGATAGAACTTGAATGCACAGGGAACACACTTCAGCCTCTGGTGGCCAAACCACGCCTGGATGGGCACAGAAGGCCAATGTCTCAAGCAGAAGCTGTCGCTCACGTGTAGGAGAGCAAATTCAGATCATAGCAGCCATCCACCTGCAACACAAGGGACTGTTAGTTCTGAGCTGCTCAAAGCAAGGTAAACCAAGCAGAGGGAAGTAATCACTCACATCAAAGCGGCCAATCCTTGTGGAAGTATGACTAGCCCGAATCATCTCTGTCAGCGCCCACATCTGCTGCACCTCAGAGGATACTCTGCTGGGGTCTGGGAGACCCTGTTCCAGAAGGAAGGAATAGTGACCATGAATCTCTCCCCAGCAGTGCCCTTAAAGATATAAGATACGGGGCACTCCAACTGAAACCAGTGACATTCCCAGATAACTTACAGAATGTGTGATTGGAGCCTGATGTTCCTTCAGTCATGCCTATTCCAGCGATGACTCAAATCCCATACTCAATACCCAAGAAGACACTGAACCATGAGCCCTGGGTCCAATCTCAAATTTTTGTGGTGTTGGGAATCAAACCCAGGACCTTATGCATGCTAAGTAAGCATTCTACCATTGAATTATATCCCTAGCTGGTCTCAGGATAGCAGAGGCCCACATGGTCATGCCCAGGATCTCAGAACCATGTATATGTAGTTAACACCAAGTGTTAGAGTGCTTACCTCAAGGCGAGGAGCAGGCTGCTCACTGGACACTGGGTGGGAAAGCCACTTGGGGAAAATCAGGGAGGGGCTCTGCAAAGCAAAGGCAAACTGTCCTAAGTGGGGCAGAATCTGAGAACAAAGAAGAGGCCCCTAGAGGATGAGACACTGGGAAATCCCTGTTCAGGACCATGTAAGATCAAAGGGACACTCAGATTACTAAGATGCTCTGCTATGCAGAAGGAGAATCCGGGAACATAAGCAACAAAAGTACATCCCAGCACCTAAAAGTGGTGGATGGTCTCAACGGTCAGGGGGTGCTGGGGCAGAACCCCACCTTAGACTGTGAACCTCTGCACTCACTCTCCTCCAGTGCTCATGAAGGCTCCCTCTGGATCTGCCATCGTTGCCCCACAGCCCACCTCAGTGCCCCATCTCTCCTAGCTATTTAGAACCTTTTTAAATAAAGGGCAGCTAGTAGGTTTCAGACATTCCCTTACCTTTGGTCCCTGCTGGTAGATTTGCAACTCCTCCACTGTGAAGGACAGCCATAGCGGTGACGGCTGCCGCAGGATCAGACGCAGCTCTAGGACTCTGCTCACGTCACACAGCATCTGACACACACACACACAAAATGACCGATTGAGCAGGCTGTGGTGGTGCATGCCTTTGATCTCAGCACTGGGTGGCAGGGGCAGGCATTCCTTTTTCGGAGTTCAAGGCTAGCCTAGTCTACAAAACAAGTTCTAGGAGAGCCGGGGCTACACAGAGAAACCCTATCTCAACCAAAACAAAACAAAAATAGCCAGGTGGCAGCAGTGCAAAGTCTTCAATCCCAGAACTCGAGAGGCAGGCAGATCTCCGTGAGTTTGAGGCCAGCCTGGTCTACAGATCGAGTCCCAGGGCAGCCAGGGCAATAAGAGTAACCCTGTCACCAGGCAGTGGTGGTGCACACCTTTAGTCCCAGCACTTGGGAGGCAGAGGCAGCCAGATCTCCGTGAGTTTGAGGCCAGCCTGGTCTACAGAGCTAAACAGAGAAACCCTGTCTCAAAAAACAAAACAAAACAAAACAAAAAAAAAAAACAAACAAAAAGACCCACTGAAGACTCAGTTCATTACCAGGAACCTCCCAACCAATAGTAAACCAAATGCTTCCCCAAGGCTTTGGGAAGGACAGAATAGTGGTCCCTCCCAAGTACCTTCATGAAAGCTACAGCCCAGCCCAGTTTTGCCCCACTCTTCCCTCCTGCTATTCTGCCCAATCCCTAGACAGGAAGTCCTCATCTGGGATTCCCTAGCAATGCTGAGACCCAGCTGACCTGGTGCTTGAACAGTGACACATACTCCTGGGCTCCCTCTTCACTGTGTGGGTCAGGCATCAAACAGTAGTCCCGAAGACAAGTGACCCATTTGGACGGTGTGTGCAGTGGGGTATGGTGACGAACCCGGATGCTCAAGAAAGCTGTGTAGTAATTCTTAAATGTGATCTCCAGTAACTAGAATACAACCAACCCACCATGAGAAATGAGGCGTGAGCACACTGACATAATCTTTCTTTTGTAATGTACACTTTCGCTAAGTTAGTCAACAATTCCTGGGGCCCAAACATAATTTTGGGCATTTCCTAAATGTGAGCATTTCCTAAAAATGCTCACAGCTCAGTAAGTCATACAAACAAAAGCAAACCATGCAACATATCTGAGATGGTATCAGAGGTCAGAACCCTAACCCTAAAAAAAGCAGAAAATGGACATGTGAACCCTGAAAGGATGAGCTGCATAACAAAGTTAGATAACACAGTATGCTGGGCTGATGATTTGCTCAGTTGGTTCAGTGCTTGCCTTGTCTAGTATGTTTGAAGTTCTATGCTAGAGGCACAGTACTGTGTAAACCAGGTGTGTGATGCATACCTGTAATCCCAGTGCTTGGGAGGTAGAGGCAGGAGGATCAGAAGTTCATGATAAGCCTCAGCTATTCGTGACCACTCTAGGTTTCACGAGATACCCCCAAACACAAAAAAAGTAGCATATTTTTAAAAGTACCAGAGTGAGAACCTAAGAATCTAGCATGGGAAAGAATTGTAGCTCAATCTGGTAATAGCAGAGGTTCTCAGGTTCTCTCCTTCCGTGTATCTCTCTGTCTCTGTCTGTGTCTCTCTTAACTAAGAAGGAATTAGCAGACTAAGACCAGAATAAGAACAGGAGGACAGTTTGTCGAGTACACTGCAGGGGGTTGGGGAAGGCAATCAGTTTGGCAGACCTATAGTATCGACCGCTAGAGCAGTAGTTTTCATCATTGGATGTCCATCAGAATCATCTATGGAACTTTAAAAAAGAATCCAGATATCAGGGCTGCAGAGACTGATTGGTGGTTAAGAGCACTTGGTGCTCTTGCAGACAGTCAAGTTTGGTTCCCAGAACCTACATGGCCCCGTACAGCTGTTCACAACTCTGGTTCCAGGTAATTCAGAGACCTCTTCTGGCCACCACCAGTACTAGGTATGCACAAAGTATACAAGCATACATGCAGACAAAACACATAAAATTAAAATAAACACTTAAAAAATAAAAATATAGATGTCAAAGAGTCACCTCAAACACACTGGTCAGATTTTCCAGGGTCAGATTAATTAGGTTTCCCCAGCCAGTGATAAGAAACATCTTGGGCGGGGCGTTGGTGGCGCAGGCCTTTAATCCCAACACTCGGGAGGCAGAGGCAGGCGGATCTCTGTGAGTTCGAGGCCATCCTGGTCTCCAGAGCGAGTGCCAGGATAGGCACCAAAGCTACACAGAGAAACCCTGTCTCGAAAAACAAAAAACAAAAAACAAAAAACAAAAAACAAAAAACAAAAAACAAAAAACAAAAAACAAAAAACAAAAAACAAAAAACAAAAAACAAAAAACAAAAAACAAAAAACAAAAAACAAAAAACAAAAAACAAAAAAAAAGAAAAGAAAAGAAAGAAAGAAAAAAGAAAAAGAAACATCTTGGGAGATAACCACATATTATAACACAAAGCACCTAAGGCCAAGAGAATGGGTGTGGCACAGTCACAGAGTGGCTCAGGATGCTATGCTATTAGAGGTAGGCCTTGTCCTGTGTTGAGGTCATGCAGTGCCCTGTCACTGTCAGCTGAGATGGAAGTGCAACTATGAATGATAAACAAGTCACTAGGGGGCGGGAAACAACAAAAACAAAACAAAAAACAAAGAAACAAGCCACTAGAAGGACCTAGAAAGATTAATTACACCTGACCTGTGGCAGGAGCCGATGGAATGGGGAAGTTTACATCATTATTTAAGGATTCCAACTATGGCCCAAACCAAAATACCCTCTCACTTGTACTGAGGTTCATAATTGTATTTCCAGTGGTGTGCTGGACACGGGAAGAGATGCTGAAGAGAACAGGACAGGAAATTCTAGCCTAATAAAAACTGTATATGCTACTGAATAGGGCCAGTTCTCAAAAGCAAGGGGGAACTGCAGAGGCTGCAAATGAGTAAATGCCTGGGAAATGGTTACTAGGTCTTCCCCGCCCAGAAGCTTTGGTCGCGCCTACTGGGGGTCGCTCACCTCGAAAGGCGCGACGTTAGGAAAGGTGACATCGACGACCAGCACGCCAGGCCGACCTTGGGAGGTCCTCATGTCGCCCACTTGCAGGGCTACGGTGCTTTTCACATGACAGGGAACCAACATACGAGACATGATGCGGGTGGCAGCGACAAGCGTAATCACCGCTAACAGTCTCCAGCTATTATTAGCCTTTCCAGGCGTCGCCTATCGAACCAAAAGAACTACAACTCCCAGGAGACCTAGCGATTGCACAAACCAACCAATCACCGGTGCTTAGGGCGGGTCTAGCGTCGGAAGTGTCTGCGGAAGTTCTTCTTCAACCAATCACCACGCACCTGAGAGCCTCTCCTTGGCCGCTCCCGGCAACCGTCGAGCCATTCTTTATTCAAAAGATCCAGAATGCTGTGGGGCCAGCTTAAACCTTTTTTGGTTTCTGTTACTTTGTTAGGGTGGTAGTCGGTTAAGATGTGTAAAGCCGTCAACACAAATGAGCATCGCCCTGACATTAGTCGCAAAAACAGGCAATAAATTTTTAAAAAGAGCTGATAGCTCAATTGATAGAGTGCTTACCTAGCATTTGGAAAGCCCTGGATTGACCCCCAGTACCCCATAAAACTAGGGATGTTGCCTCAGTCCTGTAACCCCAGCTATTCTGAAGTCGGAGGAAGGAGAATAAGTTTAATGTCAGCTGGGCGTTGGTGGCTCACGCATTAGATTACACCACTCCGGAGGCAGGAGGATCTCTGTGAGTTCAAGACCAGCCTGGTCTACAAGAGCTAATTCCAGGATAGCCTCCAAAGCCACAGAGAAACCCTGTCTCAACCCCCACTCCCCCAAAAATAAAGGGGGCTGAAGAGATTGGCTCAGAGGTTAAGAGCACTGGCTGCTCTTTTAGATGTCCTGAGTTCAATTCCCAGCAACCAAATGGTGGTTTACAACCATCTATAATGAGACCTGGTGCCCTCTTCTGGCATGTTGGCAGAACACTGTATATATAATAAATAAAATCTTTTAAAATTAATTAATTAATTAATTAAAAACCAAGTGGCAATGGCACATGCCTTTAATCCTAGCACTGGGAGAGAGGGACAGGCAGATCTCTGTGATTTTGAGGCCAACCTTGGTCTACAGAGTGAGTTCCAGGACAGCTAGAGCTACACACAGAGAAACCTTGTTTTGAAAACCCAATAATAATAATAATAATAATAATAATAATAATAATAAATAAGCCAGGCATTGTGACTCTTTACTTAACCTAGTACTTGGGAGGTAGAAGCAGAATCAGAAAGATCAGAGGTTCAAGGCTAATCTCAATTATGTATCAAGTATCTATCAATTATGTTTCAAGCTATCCTGGGCTATATAAGGCCCTAGCTAAAAAAGGGAAACAGCAAACCAGCCAATAAACAGGTTAATTGGGAAAGAGACAAATAATTGGTTTGGAATTTGTTTATTTTTTGAGACAGGATCTCACTATGGATGTGGGCAAGGCGGGCCTCAAATTTACAAAGATCCACGTGCCTCTGCCTCCTGAATACTGGGATCAAAAGTGTGCCCCACCATGCCAATCTAACAAGCTTTCCTTTTACTTTCCACAATGAGTCACTTGGGAGCATTTAAGATACTGAGGTGTATGGATCAGTAATTGGAGGCCATGCAGCAGGAAAGATGATTTAGCAGTTAAAAGCCCTTGCAGCTTTTCCAGAGAACCCACATCAGGCTGGCCACAGGTGACTGTAACTGCAATGTCCTCTTCTGGCTTCTAAGGCAATTTTACATCTGTGTGCACATACCTCTACACAGACACACATGCATACATATTATTTAAAATGAAGCCAGGCGATGGTAGTACACTCCTTTAATCCCAACACTCAGGAGAGGCAGAGGCAGAGGCAGATCTCTGTGAGTTTGAGGCCACCCTGGTGGTCTCCAGAGTAAGTGCCAGGATAGGTTCCAAAGCTACACAGAGAAACCCTGTCTCACCCCCCCCCAAAAAAAAAGAGGGCATCAGATCCTCTGGAACTGGAGTTACATACGGTAATGAGCCACCATGTGGATGCTGGGAATTGGAGCCTGGACCTTTAAAACAGCACGAAGTACTCTTAACCATTGAGCCTTCTTTCCAGCCCAACAACTTTTCTTTGAGAACCCCACATCCATGCACTCAGGTGTGTCTTTTCTTTCCTTTTGAGTACCTTCTTTTTTCCTAACCTTTGCGTTTAATCATATGTTAAAATATCTGTATTAGTTGGGCTGTGGTGGTGCACTCCTTTAATCCCAGCACTTGGGGGGCAGAGGCAGACAGATCTCTATGAGTTTGAGGCCAGCATGGTTGACAGAGTGAGTTCCAAGACAGGTGGAGCTACACAATGAGACTTGTCTTGAGAAAAAAAAAAAAAAAAAAACATTTTTTTTAGGCATCAACTCACTTTTTTTTTTTTTTTTTTTTTTTTTTTTATTATTTTGGGGCATGGTTTCTCTGTGTAGCTTTGGAGCCTATCCTGGCACTCGCTCTGGAGACCAGGCTGGCCTCGAACTCACAGAGATCCACCTGCCTCTGCCTCCCAAGTGCTGGGATTAAAGGCGTGAGCCACCAGCACTGGATAACTCACCTTTTTTAAAGGTGGAAATTTTTGTCACTATAAGCCTATAATCCCAGCAGTTAGAATGTGGAGACAGGAGGATGAGGAATTTAAGCAAGTTCTAGGTTGACCTCGGCTACCTAAGACCCTGCCGTAAAAGGGGGCTAGGGATCCTGGGAAATGTTTCAGTGAGTAAGCACTTGTTCTGCAAGCTTGAGGACCTGAATTTGAATACCCAGAATTTGTGTAAAAAACAAAAAAACAACCTGAGCATGACTGTGCATGCCTATAATCCCAGTATTTGGGAGTGTGAAGACAAGTGGATTCTGGGAGCTCAGTGGCCAGCCAGCCTAGCTAAAACAGAGAGCCTCTGGTTCAGTGAGAGACTGTATCAAAGGATAAGGCAGATGGGCATAGAGGAAGGCACCCACGTCCTCCTCTGTCCTGTACATACTGGAGCATAACACGTGTATCCACACATATGGGTGCATTGTACCAAACACAACATATACACGTACATGCATGATTTTTTTAATTAAAGATATGTATGTATGTATGTATGTATGTATGTATGTATGTATGTTTTTTGAGACAGGGTTTCTCTCTGTAATAGAACTGGCTGTCCTGGAACTCGCCTTGTAGACCAAGCTGGATTTGAACTCACTGAGATCCACCTGCCTCTGCCTCCCAAGTGCTGGGATTAAAGGAGTGTGCCACCACCGTCAGGCCTAAATAATATATTTTTAATTGAATGAGTTACTGAGAAATAGCAGCATGATAGATGTAAACCAAATTGTACCCATGTCAAAGAAGAATTATAGAAATCCATTGTTTCTGGGTTAAGCTCCTACACTATGTCCCAATAGACTAGGCTAAAAATGAAAATGGAGTCAGTCAAACTGAAGTTCCACATCAATCACCAAGCTGAAATTAAACTGTTTATCCGAATTTCCAAGAAGTCAGGATTAGAAAAGTAGCAACCAGCTTTCCCAAACAGACTGGTTTCGATTGGCATAATAGTGTTCCATCTGCCTGAACCCAAACACAAAAATGGTAACATGCTGTTAACTGTTGTTTCTCTATAAGCACTTTACAAGGAAAATAGCTTTGAAATGACCAACTTGCTTTTTGTTTCTGTTTCTACTCTCTTCAGGCCTTTTCTGTCTATAAAGCAAACCTCTTCTCCTGGGTTTTGTTTTTTTGTTATTTTTTTTTAATTTTGTTTTGTTTTGTTTTGTTTTTCAAGACAGGGTTTCTCTGTGACTTTGGAGGCTGTCCTGGAACTAGCTCTTGTAGACCAGGCTGGTCTCAAACTCACAGAGATCCGCCTGCCTCTACTCCGGAGTGCTGGGAATAAAGGCGTGTGCCACTACTGCCCACTGTTTTTGAATCTTATATAGCTCAGGATCGTAAATGGAAGCAGAATGTTGTATACATAATAAATAAATAAAATCTTTAAAAAAAACTAAAACAAAAAGCACCTGTGTTGTGGAATATTTAACTATATAAAGGTGTGTTACATTTGTGTCTGCTACATTTCTTTAACAATGTAAGGATGTGTTACATTTGTGTCTGCTGCATTTGTTTAATTATGAAAAGATGTGTTGCTTTTCCGCCTTGCCTGCCTAAGGCACTGGATTGCTGTAATAAAGAGCTGACTGGTTGATACATAGGCAGGGATAAGTGGGGCTGGCAGGCAGAGACAATAAATAGGAGGAGAAATGTAGGCTCAAGAAGAATGAGAAGGTTTGAACGAGGGAGAAAGAGAGAGAGATGCCTGAAGTTAGCCAGCTGCCAGACAGACAGACACAGAAAAAGCTGGAAAAGTAGAACGTACAGAAAGAAAAAGTTAAATGCCCCAAGGTAGACATAGGTAAGAGAAACAGGTTCAGTTGAGTTAACAAGAAACCAACATAAGATAAGGCCCAGCATTCATACTGAAAGATAAATCTCCTTGTCATGATTTGGGAGCTGGTTGGTGGCACAAAAGAAAAACCTTGGTACACACCTATTACCATGCCTGATGACTTGAGTTTGAATCATGGAATTCACCTGAAAAGGTGAAAAGAGAAAGCAGATTCCTGCAAGTTATCTTCTGATTCACCCTTGTATACCTGCACATATGAATATATACATTTAAAAAATAATAAAAATAAATACACTTGGGCTGGCCGGGTGGTGGTGGCACACGTCTCTAATCCCAGCACTCGAGAGGCAGCGACAGGTGGATCTCTGTGAGTTCGAGACCAGCCTGGTCTACAAGAACTAGTTCCAGGACAGCCTCCAAAGTCACAGAGAAACCCTGCCTGGAAACCTCCCCCCACCCCCAAAAAAATACACTGGGGCTAGGGGTATAGATAAGTTGGTAGATTCTTATCATGCTCTTGGTTCAATTCCCAGTACCACAGAAACCTAATGGTGCCCACTTGTAATCCCAGCACTTGGAATGTTAAAGCAGAAGCATCAGAAGTTCAAGGTCATCTTCCTAAAAGTCAAGAGTTTGAAGCCAGCATAGGATAGAGGAGACCCTATAAAAACAAATACATAAATTAGCTGGGCATGAGGGAACCTGCCCTTAAATCCTACAACTGGGGGAGGCATAGGAAGGTGGATCTCCCAGTGTTTCAGGTC